AGTATAGTAGTATAATGTTATTAATGAATTATATTTTAAACTAATTTTATTTTAAACAAATAATAAAGCATGGATGCATAGAAATAATATGACAAAAGCTTAACTTTTAGCAAAAATTAATGAATTAACAACAACATTTGAGGAACAAAAAAATGAAACGAAAAAAAACCATACTAATGAAATCAGTCTTTTCCGAGAAATAATTACTACAAAGAATAAAGAAATTACAAATTTGATGTCTATTATTGATAATCATGCTAAAAAAATCGAACGAATCGATAAAATGAGAAAAAAACATGAATACGAATACAATAAAAGGTTAAAAGAAAAAGATAAAATCCACAAATGTGAAAAAGAAGAAAGAGAAAGAAAATATAAACGGGAAACCGATCTTTTACACCAAACTATCGATCGTTTGGAACAAACTATTCGCTCTTTACAAATTAGTACTACCTCCGAATATTAATATATTTTTTCTTTTAAATTTTTTTTTTTATTTATATTATATAAAATAATTTATATTAATTAATATAAATAAAATTTAAATAAATAATATTCTAAATTTTGTTTATTTAATAAGTCTAAATTAAGTAATTTGATTTCAAATTCCTAAACTCCGAACTCCGTTTAAAAAGTCTAAATTAAGTAAATTGATTTAAATAACAACAAACTCCGTTTCGATAAACTAAATTTGTAATACCAACTATTAATTATAAAATTAAATGATAACAATGGAATCTTTATGTTTTATCTTCATTTTCTTCATTAAATCTATTATTATACCATTATTTATACCATTATTTTATCTTGCGTTATTAAATATATCAAATATAATACAAAATAAATACATTTTTAATTTATTATACATATAAAAAAATTTATATAGTACAATTGCTTCCCGTGTACAACGATCTGTTTTTGATAAACTATATTTAGTAATTATTCGTAACTCCAAAAATCCAATAAATTTGTAATACCAAACATTAAAAATAATGATCATCAATACAAATACCGACGAATTTTCTGTTTTTTGTAATTTACACTTTTATTTCTTGAGAGTAGGGCCTCTTTCTTCGAAAGTTTAGTTCATAAAATAAAAATCACAAAGTTCGAGTGGTTCTTTCTTAGAAATGCATAAATTTCTCCCTGAAATAAAATAAATTTTATATATTATTTTTACTAACTAACTAATTTTTTTATTTCATTTCTGTGGTCGTCATATGAGGGATGGTTTCAAACCGCATTTACGTTTCTTGTAAAAGAGATATCGTGTCAAAAGGTAAAAATCCTTTGTCCTTCACTTAGAAATATGACAGAAATCCATCGATCGTTAAGAACCTCACCAATCCTTGATGTGCGGTTGCAGTTTATGATGTATTCTCTTAGAATCGATTTTCCTGTCGTTTCTTTTGTTTGAAGAGAATATTAAAATATAAGTCACATAGCCTTCATATAGACATATGTGGTTATTAACTTGATCCTATTAAATAAATATTTTAAAAAGAAAGAAAAAAAAAAAAATTTTTTTAAATTATTGATATATTTTATAAAACCTACTCCGTTTTCAATTATATGTTTTTAAGGATTTTGGTTGTTTTTTCTTGTTCGTTTGAGATAGTTTCGACAATCCATAAAAAATAACAAGATTTTGACCAGATGGTATCATCTGGTTTCAAAAGTTTTCAGGTTCAGAGTTGCCTGCAAAAAGCTCAATTTTCTCCTACTGCAGGACGTAATAGCAGTCTTAATCTTTATATTAATTTCTACAATAAAAACTTTACTACTAAAATAATAATTTAATAAATTTGTAATAAATTCAAATTTGTATTATAATTAAATATTAAATGAAATTATTATATTTATAAGTAATTAATTAATAAATTGTATATTAGCGAAAATAAATATTAAATAAAAATTATTAAAATGTGTAAATTTATAAATAAATATTAAACGTAAATTATAATTAATTAATTAATAAATTGTATGTATTAGCGAAAATAACAAAACAACCAAATTATTTCTTAAAAGAACAAATATTATTCATTAATACAAACTCCGAATATGAAAATCGCTGTCTGGTCAAAAATCACCGTCAGCAAAAAATCCGAATTGGCCAATAATATCGTTAAATTTACTAGTAAAATTTTAAAACGTGATGAGAATTTTTTCACCGTCGGCAAATTTGTCTGGTCAAAAATCACCATCGGCAGTTTTTCCTAAAAATCGTGACTGTTAGCTAATCACATTTTTTTCAACATAATTATTATCTAATCGGAGTTTGTAAATCTGATACCCGACAAGAAAAAATTCACCATCTAAGTGAAAATTATAGCTGTTTCCTAATTTGGTAATTAGTAACCCCTATTCCTTAGTAATACTTGGCAAAAGAATAGGAGTTACAGAGTAAAGTGAAAAATAAAAAAGTGTTATATCCTTTTATAAGACGATTACGAGCCTGACGCCTTTTTTCTTTATCATCTGTCAAGAGTTCAAGTATTTTCGGTGTATATTGGCTAAGCTCTTTGAGACTTATCTCATTAGTGAGTTTGCGGTCTGTGATGAACTTGGTTGTAATGGCGAATATGATAAGGTATGTAGAATATAAGCGATAGTTAAATTAATCTTTCTTTGTCAAGTTATATTATATAGATAAAGTTCAATTCAAAAAAAATATCTCACCTGAGGTATCGTATTTTTGAATATCTATAATAAAAGTGAAGATGAAGTTTTAAGATTATTAATATCAAAATTATCTCATATAGATCGTCTATCCTGCCAATACATCAAGAAAGATGGTTCAATTTGTAGGAAAGGGTGCTGGCATGAATTAGAATGTGCCATATACTATAAAAGGCATCCTAAAACAATATGCCCTATCTGTAATGAGCTAACCTATGCCAAGACTGGAATCTGTAGTACACATGGTGAAATTATAAAAAAGCCTGGCATGAAGATAAAAAAGATAAAATAGAATCAGATATGGTTGAGATACCTAGCTGAATAACGATTTTTCTTATCTTATAGAATCAAAGAGTTCCTGGACCTTGTTATCTGTATTTAGCCAATATGGTGGAAGTTCTGGTGTACTTTTATCTCCAAAACCAGTACCATTATATGGTTGGCGATTAATTTTGTATAAATATTTCCAAATTCGCAGTTCTTTAGGCCCAATTTTTTTTCGATTGCTTTTAACAGTATAGCCACACCAATTGCTAGCGATTGCATTAATTGCTTTTATAGCCGATTTAAGATCTGGTGTTTCTTTTGCACGAGACTTAAAGCCAAAAAGTAATAAAAACTGATTTCAAATTTCTATAAACCTTTCACGTGATTGTGTGAATGCTTCTGAAATAATATTACCCGAAAGAGTACACATATCATCAATGCCAGTAAAACCTAGTATTTGAAAAAGTTTCTGTATTGCCTCTCACCATTTAAATAAATATGCCTTTTGTAAATCAATTAAAGATGGATCTGATAAATTGTGCGATTCATCCCACTGTATAGCTTCTTTGGTTTTCAACCCTTCTAAAACTTTTATTGCATCTGAACCTTGCTTTCGGAAATATGCCAGTCTTCTAAAATATTGCAAAGGTTCGGGGTTATCAAATTTTTTTATAAAACTAGTATTGCAACCTTACCTCCAATATCTCCTGAAGCATATATTCTCTATAAATAATATCATTGCAATATCATATTATCAGTGAATAAGCGTGTAGAAATTTGTTTAAGAACTTCAGCATCATCTAGGGTAATATCAGGTACGTTGGCTATTAATTCTGCATCAGAGCTTTTGATATTTTCTTCAACCGCCTTAATACTATTAGAAACTATTTCCCTATCAGCTATGGTACCTTCTGCAAAAATAATCTCAAGTGAAGCTCCTGTACTAGAAACAAGACTACAAAGAATTTTGGGAAAGTATTTAGCTAATAAGCGTCTCTGATATTCAGCCTTAATATATGTTTCAACTGCTGGAGATGCATCAAGAGTATAACAATCAGTGATTTTATCCCATTCCCGATATCCTTTTACTGCTGTTGGTAAATTAATAGGCCTTAAAGCAGAAAGTTCAGCATGAATAAGATTACGATTTGGCTCTTGGAATACTTCAGAGGACTTTTTACTATGATATAAAGAAATGATATGTTGTGGACAATCCTGAATTCGGTAAAGCATCTGTGCAAAAGCTTCGACATGTACTCCTGTTTTAATATTGCTAATCCCTATAATGGCATCAAAATGATTAGGGATTTCAAAGAAGATAT